GGAGACAAAAGCTTTAGTTTCTTGTAGTCCATATAGCGACATAACGGAGACAAAAGCTTTAGTTTCTTGTAGTCCATATAGCGACATAACGGAGACAAAAGCTTTAGTTTCTTGTAGTCGATATAGCGACATAACGGAGACAAAAGCTTTAGGTATGGACTACAAGAAATTATGTCGCTATTTTGTCCCCGTATATTTAACCAGACTCTTGTACTATTGCAGAGCAAGTGTTATAAAATTTAGTAAAACACTGAATATATATACACATAAATAAATACATATTTCCTTCATAAGCCAACACCGCGCAAAACTCTGATATTTGTGAAAGACAGAGTAAGCAGATGCGTCTATGTTACGTCACAATAAACGTAGTGAGTAAAATGGCCGCATGCCTAGCGCATGCGCGAATCATATCCTCGGGGTTTTGGGCTGTTGCATGAATACGCCTCGGATCACGCGCACTCTACATCATAAAAGTCGCCAACTCATAGACGTGATTAGACAAAACCAGGATGCGTTTGTTGGCATCGTGGAGAGGCTGAAGACCTTGTGAAACCTCGAATTGCATCTCGGGACTAAATATCTGAACTATACTTTCAGGCGAGTTGTCGTTAAAGTTTAGGCTTGTACCGTAATTCTGCTGGCTAAAGAAAGATTTGAATTATTCTCTTAGGCCTAAGCTTACAGGACACAGGATAAAGCCAGGAACAGTAAAGACTGGTGCCTGGTGAATTGATACCACTGCTACTACGCTAGTCTGTGGAGTAAAAGGTAGGTCTGTCGTAGATCAATGTTTTACTAATTCATAGAAATTATATAGTTAAAACTTGGTGCGAGTTAAATATTATGTTTGTTGTTAAGCGCAAAACTAGTCTATATGGACTACAAGAAACTAAAGCAGTAATATGGAATCTCTATGTTGTTTAATGTTTTGTATTCGACGCTTAAAAATAAAGAATCATGCGTCCATGGTTGCATGAAAAGCAGCTCACAATACTTGGAATATATCATATATTTTAAAACAGGTATGGACAGAAAGAGATTGTTGCTAAATCTTTTGGTTCTGCGTATGTTATAGTGTAATGAAACTCCTATAGATAGTGTAATGAAACTACTATAGTTAGAGTGTAATGAAACTCCTATAGTTAGAGTGTAATGAAACTCCTATACATAGAGTAATAAAACTCCTATAGTTAGAGTGTAATGAAACTCCTATAGTTAGAGAGTAATGTTCTGTAGTTTTCTACATCTGATAATAAGTTTTACTCTGATTACCACAGATGACATTCTTAAATTAGAATATCTGAAGGAGAAGAAACCGACAACCGTTCGTTACAAACAAAATAAAAATCTAACCACACCTTTAACAAAGTGAAAGCTCCCTCTAGTGATTGTGGCTCTGCAATTTAATCCTAAATAGAACTGGCAAAGTTTAATCACGTGTGTATTCAAAACTTAACTTACAATAATATTAGAAACCACGCTATAAATGAAATAATTGTTTTGTTTATTTTTTTTTTCAGGATTTTCGCACTAAGCTACACAAGTTGCTATCTAAGCCTAGCCGTCTCCGATTTTATACTTATAGCCTAGAGGGAAAGCAGTTGGTCAACAGCACCAACCACCAACTCTTGGGCTACTCTATTTGTTAATGGAATTAACCATCACTCCTATAACACATTCAATGTCTCAGAGTGCAAAATGCATGTTATTTTAGGTGATAACGCAGCGCGAACTACAGAACCTCGGATCCACAGCCCGGTACGTTAACTCCCCTGCACCACATAACATCAGAATAGGATCCTTTAATAAATTGGACAAAAGCACAAACTAATGGAAAATTCACTGTTTAAGAATCATCTTGCCCCCTGGTGGCTCAGCCGTAAGTCTGAAGGCTTATGACGCTGAAAATCGGGCTTAGATAGCAAATAGTCCATTGTGTATCTTTGCGCTTAACAACAAACAAACAAACAAAACTTTAAGTATTTTCTATTAATAAATATTTTAGTAGAGATAGAAATAAGTTACTATTGGTTTTAGACAGAAAGAAATAAGTTTTTGAATACAGAAATATCTTGAGGGAGAATGCATTCTGTTCAATAGTATTCATCCGCGAGTGAATAAAATGAGGAATTCTATTATTTTAATCAGGTTAAACTATGAAATGTTACTTTCTTGCCTCCTTTGTCTTCTGATATCTGAAAAAAAAAATCGAGATTCAGTTTTAAATTAGAAATAGAAATATGGTACTTTTAATATCCAAACTTAACTTGCATTTTGCCGAAACGATCGGTATTAATTTTGGCTTACGTCAGCTAACGTAGTTTGAGTCAACTCTATAACGTGCAGTCGTCTGTTTTGTTTTCTGTGTACGCAATATTATCTCGTCTGGAAGTCAGCCAAGTAAAAAACCAACAAAATCCGGAGTAGGACTGGTACAAGTGTTACGATGTGAACCAACGAACAGCACCTAAAATTAACAAGCTGAACAATCCTGGAAGATGCTAGATTTATCTTACCAGTATTCCTTCCTTCTGTATGTTTGACAAAAAAATAAATAAATAAACATTGAAATGTTGTTACTTGTAGCCGGAATCTTAGCAACAAAACAGCACTGGACAAAGGTCGTGAAACTCCTTCCGCACTCACCACACTATAAATGGAGTGATAAAATGAATATTATATTGTATTTGATATTTATGACACAACTATTAAGGCAGTCTGCCGTCGCCCCTAATTTTGAAATACTGACCAGAGGGAGGGCAGCACACTAACACCCATTACCCACGTTAAAGGACTGACAGTCACACTTATAACGCACGATATACTGAGACCTAATTAATGACAAAAAGACTATTTAAAAAAGTTTGTTAAGAACTATTTTTTTTGTCAGACCTTAAAATTTAGAAGTTATAAGAACAGCTAATGAAAGTGCAAATAACATGTTTTGAATATGAGCTGCATGACCTCTAACCACTTTAGATCACGTATTGATTGTAAGCTGCATGACCTCTAACCACTATAGGTCATGTATTGAATATAAGCTGCATGACTTCTCAAGGTTACATATTGAATATAGGCTGTATGTTATTTAATATTCAGATAAGACGATTTCTATTTTATACCAGAGTTGAACCCTAGCGTTTAGTTTAAAGTTACTCGACTCTCATCTCGAGGGTTCAAGGTTTGCGACCCGTTGCCGCAAGGACCTGCTCTGTCATTTGGGGCTGTTTGTGAGCTATAAGAGTGACAGTTAAATCCCACTATTCAATGAGATGAAAAAGAGTCGGTGGCGGATTATGTTGACTAGCTGTTTTCCCTCTAGTCTTGAGTCTTTTAGATACTTGATGAAAGATGTATAAACATCTCTTAGTGATGAAAGATATATAAACATCTCCTAGGGATGAAGGATGTATAAACATCTCTTAGTGATGAAAGATATATATATGCATCTGTTAGTGATGAAGAATGTATAAACATCTCTTAGTGATGAGAGATATATAAGAATTTGTTAGTGATGAAGGATGTATAAACATCTCTTAGTGATGAAAGACGTATAAACATCTCTTAGTGATGAAAGTTCATCATCTTCAAAATCTTGTCAATATCTTCCAGCTATGAACTTTGATGTCTTACGTAATAAAGAACCCTTAGGGATGACCACGTGATCTCTGACGTTACTAGCAAATTGTCGTATTGATTTTTCGTTGTTACGCCCACAAAAACACTTTTCCCTCTATCCATATATTTATCTTCCAAACTCTAGTTAGAGTGTAATGAAACTCCTATAGTAGGAGTTTCATTACACTCTATCTATAGGAGTTTCATTACACTTTAACTAGAGTTTGGAAGATAAATATATGGATAGAGGGAAAAGTGTTTTTGTGGGCGTAACAACGAAAAATCAATACGACAATTTGCTAGTAACGTCAGAGATCACGTGGTCATCCCTAAGGGTTCTTTATTACGTAAGACATCAAAGTTCAT